TTGCTCTAATCTTTCTAAATGAGATTGCCAATCATCACTAAAAACCACCAGGTCGTCTAAGTATGCCTCTACACCTTATAAGGGTTGGACTAAAATGTTCATAATTCTCTGGAAAGTGGAGGCGGCATTACACAAGCCGAAAGGCATAACCTTATATGTAAATAGTCCGTTCTTAACTATGAACCCTGAAATCTTTTGGGCCCTAGGAGTTAACGGCACCTGGTAATACCCTCTCAGTAAGTCTAATCTGGTCACAAAGTTGGCACCGGCCACAGCATCTATTAAAATCATCAATCCTGGGTAATGGAAACCCATCTGGTTTGGTGACTGAATTTACTTTATGATAATCCGTGCATAGGCGTATGGTACCATCGGGTTTTGGGACCAATAAATAGGGAGAGGCCCATGGTGTCCAACTGGGTTCTATCAAATTATATTCCAGTAATGTATTTATTTCTTGCTGAATTAATTCTTGCTTAGCAGGAGAGACCCAGTAAGGGGATTGCTTTATTGGACTATCTTCTAACAATTCAATATCGTGGAAACCCAAGGTACAAGGAGTAGGGATATCTTTGAAGATGGAGTTATATTTAGTGATTAACTCTTTTATTTGAGATTTTTGGGAGGTAGGAAGAACTTCCAGGAAATGGTCTAGTTGTTTTAAAACTTCAGAATTATGTAGTCTAAATTCTCTTACTTCCCTTACAGTGTCATTCCTAATTTCAGTGGATGTAGGTTGAATAGAGGTAATAATAGTAGGGAGAAGGTTAGACTCATACTTCTTTAAGTTATCTATGTGATACCTCTTAATTTTCTTACGACGTCCTGGTTCACGGACCAGATAATTCACCTCATTTTCTTATGGCCCCAAATATCTAGGTTTTAAAGAATGTCCTGGAATTAAGTTTTTAACTAACACTAATTCATTTGGAGAGAATGAACGAGATTTAGCCTTTTGGTCGTAAGATTTCTTCATTTTGGCTTGAGCTGTCAGATTCACGGCAGCTAAGCTTTTTAATTTGGAGAGAGGTTCTTTCCAAAGCAGAGGACTGGGATGAAGAGGTCCTCTCTTCCCTATCCAAGAATCTCGTAATATGGCTAGGGGTCCTCGCACCTGATGTCCAAAAATCAAGTCAAATGGAGAGCATTTAGTACTTTCCTGTTCAGCTTCACGGAGGGCGAAGAGAAGAAAGGGTAAACCTTCGTCCCATTCACAAGAATATTGCTCACAGTAAGCACGTAAAGTTTAAGGGTTTGGTGGAATCTTTCTAGCACTCCTTGTGACTGGGGATGATATGCTGTAGAGAGGATCTGTCTTACTCCTAATCGAGACATAGCCTCTTTAAAAACCTTCGACGTAAAATTAGAACCTTGGTCAGATTGAATTTCACGTGGTATGCCTACTTGAGCAAAGAAGCGTATTAAAGCTCTTACTATATTTCTGGAATTAATTTTGGACATTGGGATAGCATCAGGATACCGTGTTGCCATATCTATGATAGTGAAGATATACTGGTTACCCCTTTTTGTGCGGGGCAACAGTCCTACACAATCAATAACTAATCTTTCAAAAGGTTCTTCAGGACATTTTATTGGAAGTAAAGGGGCAGACGCGGGATTGTGCGCCGTTTTGCCTATTTGACAAACGTGGCATTTCCATAGTTTGTCAGCAATATAAGTCCTCATCTGAGGCCAAAAAAATATTTCCTAATCTTTTTCTCGGTCTTATGAGACCCTAAATGACCTCCCAGTGGATTATCATGTGCTAGTTCAAATACCATATTACGTGAAGACGATGGCACCACTAAGAAATTTCCCTTTGAACTCAGAGTCATTATCATTATTTCTCTTCCAAAGAAAACCGTCTTCATATAAAAAGTAACCTTCCTCTTTATCCTTATTGGTTAAACTTTTATCATCCTTTAGAGCTATAAGAAATTCTTCTTTATTATATTTTCTAGCTAGGTCCGCAGGGACTGGTAAAACATTGTCACCTGTGGGTCTCGACTGAATTGCTTCGCTAAACAGGAAGTTCAAACCTAATTCACTGGTCATTTCTAAAGGCTGTTGAATATCCACATTTTTAGAGTTCTTAGCCATGGCTCTGGTGATCACATTAAGGGGAAATAAATCTAGCCCTGCCTCAGAAGCTTCTAATGCATAATTTGTATCACAAGGATTATCTAAAACCAGAGGCTCTCTGGGTATCTCCAAATGATCAATTTCGTTCCTGATTAATAGATCCACGCCGGCAATGGGAAAAGGTTTATCTGAAAGTCCCACATTGATCCAGCCTACATATCCAGGCAGTTCTACATAAATCCTTATAATAGAGACCTTTATTATTGTGCCTCCATAAGCCTCTAATAATACGCCTAGCTGGGGTTTATTACTAGTAGTAACTTTACCAAGTTTGATCTTAATAAAGAGAGATAGCTGCCAGTATCTCGAAAGGTCGTGATGTTTACTAACCTCTCTTTACAGAGTCCGAACTTCCCCTTGGAAAAGTAGGGTTCCATAGCTACTCGGACCTTTTCTTCTGAAGCACTGTCGTGGTAAAGTCATCTATTAGACGGTCTGCTAGACGAGGCCTGGAAAGGTAAAGATTCATCATCCAGAGTTTCATACTTCCGAGAGGAATTTATTACCTGAGTAGGATATCTCCTTCTTGGTTGGGTTTTATCTTCCCACTGTTTATGCCAACACTGGAACTGTCTATGACCTAACTTTTTACAAAAAAGGCACAGTGGTAACTGATCTTTAGGGTAATGCCTGGAGAAAGAGCCGTTTGTCACCTGTTTTTTTTTCTGAAAACACCTTCAAAGGTTCGCCAGCTGGAGCTTTCCTAGTAGTCAATCTTGAACTAAAACCTTGGGAGATAGATTTCTTTTCCGGGGTCTTAGACATTTCTACGGTTATAGCATGGGAAATTTCAAAGTGATCTGCATGGGCAGCAGTATCTAACAAGTTAGTAGTAGGAAATGTCAAAAGATAAGTATAAACCCTCTCTGGAAAATATTTAAAAAGGTCTTCATGCAATATCAGCTGGGAAAGTGACTCGACTGAGGCGGCTCCCGCGGCCCTACGCCAACGCTCGAAAGCAGAGAGGTTTTCCCTTGCAAAGTTCACCCAAGACTGCTGAGGATATTTCTTCAGAGTTCTAAACATCTTTAAGTAACTAACAGGTAATAAATCGTAAGCTTTCAAAAGACAATCTTTTACCTGAGTATAATCAGAATATTGTTCAAAAGGTAAGTTTGCAGTTATGGTTTGGGCTTTTCTTATTAAAGATGAATGTATTAAAGCAGCCCAATATTTAGGAGGCCATTGCATCACCTTCGCCTGATTTTCGAATGCCTCGAAAAATGAATCTAAATTATCCTCAGTAAATCTAGGCATCAAAGAGGCTGCTTTACTAAGGTCGAATGAAGGGATTGTATACATATTACTTGATTCTCTTTTCTTCCTCAGTATTTCCCGTTCATAAAGCAAAGATTCGCGTTCAAAATTCTCCCTTTTTAGTTTTCTCTGGGCTTCTACAAAGGAGGTTTGAAGTGATAAAATACATTCTAGACGTTCGAAATTCTCCTTAGATTGAATAGTAGTCAAAAGGGCTAAAGAGATTTGAAGTGGAACGTGTTCATCATCCAATACGACTTTCTCTTGTTTCGTTTCAAAAACATCTGTAAAGGGTTTACCTGGAACCGTTTCTTTAGCCTGATGGAGTTCTGTTCCCCATATAGTCCTTGGAGATGGAATTGGAGTCGTTGTAGCAGTGTAGTGTTTCCGAGCATCGGGAAGTTCATGTCCGTCGTCTCCAGTAGGGGTTGTTAGTGTCGTAGTTTCGGCCTCGGGTGTCTGTAGTAAAGAATTCAAAAAAGAAGGAATATCTGCTTCTCCATTCTCAGTCTCTGGATCCTGCTCATCTGGAAAAAGGACATTCTGTATCATACATCTGACTGTCTGGGCAGTAAAATGCCTGTCGTATTTTATGCCCAAGCTTCGTGCTAATTGCCAACAAGATTGAAGCTTCAAATTCTGTAATCTCTCCTTTGTTATATCTTCAAACCTCTCTGCCATCTCTACATTCATTTTAAACGAAATTCAATGTTATGCTCCCGGACACAGGCCCCCACTTGTTACACTCCAAGTATTGTAACCATTATTTCCTTCTGGTTAGAGCATAACAACTTTGGTCAGAGAGGTTAGGGTAATGATAGTGATCCTCCGGAATGACTAATTTTAATTAAGTATATTCATGATACAACAAAAATCCAGAAATAATAATATACGAATTATTGTATGTAAGTTAAGAATGCATGTTTATTCTATATTGTCCAAAATATATAAGGCTTTCATAACACATGATTAGGAGGAGATCCTAGATATAACATATATATATACAGAGATTACTTTAATGTATAAAGTCTTATTTCCCAATTGGAAGCAGTCAGAATAAAACAGAATATGTCCAGGCCGGATAATGAACCTTGGCCAGTTACCAGAGACGAGCAGGAGTGTTCTCGTTGGCTGCTACTTCTTCACTGCTCGTCCCTCAACCTTGAGCATACAGGTCAAGTGGGTCACATGACATGACTCACCAACACTCAGTAGAGTAGTTGAACATAAAAGGGGGGGGGAAGGGGGGTATAACCATCGAACATCACGGCTAACCATACACCAGCACACCGGGCGGCAGGCATGTTACTATACCTCCAATTAAACTTATCATGGCCATGTTACATAAATTATAATAATTGTTAATAAGAATTAGCCTTAATAATACAAGGACGTTCATTTCCAATTTAGCTATTAAAGGAAATAACCGCAATGTAATATTAAAGAAAGGCTAACCATAGGGGCATGACAGTGTGTGTGTGTGTGTGTGTATATTTTAATAATACTACTGAAGATATATCCATTCATCCCTAATATGGTAAATTGGTTGTGGAATAATCATACATGGGCAAATATTTTATAATAAGTGATGATTTTCTCAGTATGGTGGTACAGTTGGCAGTCCGGTTCTTCTCGAGCCACCTGAAGAAGAAATGGATATCGAAAGAAGAAACTATTGGTATCGATTTTCCATCATGTACTCCGGAATGTTAACCACAGGTGAATTTTTTAGGAAGTTATTTATTAACATTTGCATAAAGCAACAATTTTTAACACATTGGCCCATTTCCTATCAAGGTAATAATACATTCACCACTATTGCATTCATTCAATAAGTGTCTAGGCCAAAGTGTACATACATTATAATTCAAATGAGCCTCTGTATTGCAACATTCCTCTCCTTCAGAGTGCAGGCATTGTACTTCCTACCTTCTGGAACTCCAATCCAGCTAACCCATTTTCCTGATTATCTTCATAAATATTACTACTCATGATTTTTCTTCTGTGAGACTGGCACATATAAAGTTAATACATGAGAATATCTTGTAGTTTAGTGTTGAAGAATGAAAAAAGTATCAAGAAGTTACAATACCATCATTCATGCATATAACCATTTTTTCCTCTCACAATTTCTTTATATGCTAATTTATTAAATTCTGAAGGTTTTTATATGTAGTTCATTTTTTTTTTTTAGAGAGAGAGAGAGAGAGAGAGAGAAGAGAGAGAGAGAGAAGAGAGAAAGAAGAGAAGAAAAGAAAAGAGAGAGAGAAGAGAGAGAGCACTACCAAAATGCAAGTTCCTGATCCAGCAAGGGACCCTCCTTGGCTAGCTGCACGAACTGTGTCAAAACTGTCAGTGGTGACAATAAGGCAGGAGGAGGTGCATTTCCTTCTTAAATCACTTGACCAAAAAAGGCTGTGGGCCCAGACAAATTGAGCCCAAGATTGTTGAAAAGATGTGCAGACCAGCTAGCAGCACCTCTAAACTCGCATCTTTCCAGCACTGCCTATACAGTTAAAAGGCCCCCCTTATGGAAAGAGGCAAAGTAGTCCCTGTTCACAAAAAGAAGAGCAGGCAGAAATCAAACAAACTACAGACCAGTGTCACTCCGTCAATCACTGGTAAGATCCTTGAACAATAATCTAAGACAAATGACAGATTTTTTGACTACCACTCACTAAATTTTTGATCGTCAATATGGCTTCAGGAAAGGTTACTCTGCTGCTGATCTGTTGTTAAACCTCTCCAATTTAAATGGCACCAGTCACTGGATGAATCCAAAGTCAGCTGTGTGGTAGCACTGGACATTGCTGGCGCTTTCGACCGGGTGTGGCACCAGGGCCTCTTAGCAAAACTTCAAGCACTGGGAATTGCAGGCTCTACGCTATGTCTCCTCAGTGATTACCTTCAGGGTAGATCTCTAAGTGTAGTCCTCAATGGAACGGAATCAGCAAGGCATCCTATTGGGGCAAGCGTTCCACAAGGAAGCGTGCTGGGCCTTTGTTATGGAATGTCTACTTCAACGACCTTCTTCATCTCATCCCAGAATCACATGCATATGCAGACAACTGTACACTGACATTCATTTAAATCCAAGAGAAGAAATCCCAGCTGCTCTAAGCTACATCAATCACCAGCTGAGAGCTATATCAGCTTGGGGAAATAGATGGCAAGTAACTTTTGCACCTGAGAAAACGCAAATAAATGATCGTCTCTAGGCACCATGATGGTAATGCTGGTGCAGTAGTAAGGATGAATGGGAGGATGTTGGCACCTGGAGAAGAAGTTGATATCCTTGGGGTGAAATTTGACTCCAAACTAACCATGAAGAACCATGTTGTAAATCTTGCAAACAAGGCAGCCAGGAAGCTTACAGCACTTCGCCGTATCTCGCATCTGCTTGACAGTAGGGGTTGCAAGATTCTGTACCAGGCACAAGTACGCTCACACCTTGAGTATGCTCCACTTTCTTGGTTTGCCTGGCCCCCCTCTCATCTGCGACTGCTTGAAAAGAGTAGAGAACAGAGCAAGACATCTCATCTCTCGCCTGGACCCATCCTGGATAATCTTCATTTCAGCAGAGCCTTCAACATAGGAGGGATGTGGGGGCCTTACTGTTATGTACAAGGCCAATATTGTCAAAATACCACACTTGGATCCACTTCGAGGACAGCGTGAAAACAAGCTTTTATCCCACAAGACGGGTAGAAAGCAGCAACTTCACTCTGGCTGTACCCTTCTCCAGAACATCACTCCATCTGAGATCATACATACCCCCCGGATGACTCGAGTATGGAACACATTCGTACAGCATAATGATGTCAACGAGATAAAGGTCAGTTGATCAAATGAAATTTTTGGCCCACAGATGGCTCCAACTTCATCCTGTTCCCTACTTGTATGTCTCATAACAATAAAAAAAGCCCTTTTAAATGAGCTGATGTAGGTAACAGCTCTTAGCTTGCCAATAAAGTTAGGAATCCTTAACCCGTAATATAGCTGTCAATAAAGCTAGGGATCCTTAACCTTGTCAAACCCTGTGTAAAAAAAAAAAAAAAAAAAAAAAAGAAGAGAGAGAGAGAGAGAAAGAAAGAGAGAGAGAGAGGGGAGAGAGAGAGAGAGAGAGAGAGAGAAGAGAGAGAGAGAAGAGAAGAGAGGTGAAAGAAGAGAGAGAGAGAGAAAGAGAGAGAGAGGAAAGAGAAAAGAGAGGAAGAGAGAGAGAAAGAAGAGAGAGAGAGAGAAGAGAGAGAGAGAGAGAGAAAGGAGAGAGAGAAAAGAGAGAGAAGAGATGAGAGAGAAGAGAGGAGAGAGAGAGAGAAAGAGAGAGAAGAGAGAGAGAGAGGAGAAGAAGGAGAGTGAGAGAAGAGAGAGAGAGAGAGATAGAGAGGGGAAAGAGAGAGAAAAGGGGGAGAGAGAGAGAAGAGAGAGAGATGAGAGAGTGAGAGAGAAGAGAGAGAGAGAGAAAGAGAGAGAGAGAGGAGAGAGAAATTTTATCTATTATCTTGATGATGATGATTTATTTTTATTGTTCAGTATTTGAAGAAATATTATTATTGTAATATTATAATAAAATTCTAAGTTGTACAAAACAATTACAAAGTTTTTTACATTTTTGTCCAGCTATAATGTCAGAAATAAAGGATGTGCATTAGCCAGACCTTTGTGTTATGTTTTTCTAATACATTTAACATTTTCACAGGTGCATTTTTCTCCCTTGGTGGACTGGCCACTTGGCATGGAAGACTAATATCAAGAGGAGAGACCAGCATTGAAGCTCACATCCCAAACCCAAAAAGGGGACTGAAAGATTTTGCAAAAATCAACCAAGTTAGTTATTACAACTTTATTAAACCACCACTGGCTTTAAGTCAGTCAAGTTTGAATTTTTCAGTAGGTGACATGCAAACCAACTATCAAAATAAACCTTAGTTAAAATAAATGGTACAGATAAGAAGTAAAAGGGGTTCAGGGAAACTGGCAGGCCGGACTTGAGTCCTGGAGATGGGAAGTACAGTGCCTGCACTCTGAAGGAGGGGTGTTAATGTTGCAGTTTAAAAACTGTAGTGTAAAGCACCCTTCTGGCAAGACAGTGATGGAGTGAATGATGATGAAAGTTTTTCTTTTTCGGGCCACCCTGCCTTAGTGGGAATCGGCCAGTGTGATAATAAATAATAAAAAAATAAAGAAGTAATAGCATAGGGAGTCACACATTAAGATTCACTACACATATTCAGTACTTAAAAATATTGTTAAAGCTGTTTTATCCATTAAACTTTTAAAGATCACTACTACTTACCTTACTTTTCATTGCATACCCTTTCGTGTGCATTTATCTGCCAAGATCTTCCATATGTTATATATGTATTTGGGCTACTAGCACTAAACTGTCACTAACCAAACATTAGACAGTAATAGTCAGCCTTCTGAACTACATCAATCAGTAATTTTAGACAATACATACCGCTTTCAAATTTCTAAATGTAAACATCATTCACCCTTTACACTGTTCATCTTACATACCAGTGCAAACTTTTTCCTTGAGCATTTTAATAAAACCTCTGGGCCTCTTACAAGAAAATGTTACCTATGACATTTAATTTTTAATTACATTGAATTTATGGGCTCAGAGCTGTTTCCTGCTTTGATTCATTTCTAAACTCAGTCCTAAGATATATGTACAGTGGTCCCCCGCTTTTCATAGTTCCCGGCAATCGTAAAATTCGCCAATCATAGGGGTATTTTCGTATAAACATGGACTCGCTTTTCATAGGTTGACTCGCGAGTCGTAGTTCGTCCGGGACGCGTACGCACGGCGTGGGCCAGGGCGGCACCCAGTCTGGCATTGTTTACCAGTGAGCGAAGGTCCCCTCGCATGCTCCAGCGAAATATTTCATAATATTCCATTTATTTTAGTGCTTGCAAGTACTAAATAAGCTACCATGGCTTCAAAGAAAGCTCCTAGTGCCAAGCCTGTGGTAAAGAAGGTGAGAAATACAATTGAATTTAAGAAAACCATCATTGAACAATATGAAAGTGGTACAAGTGTGGCCGAACTGTCCAGGATGTATAAGAAACCCTACACAACCTTATGTTCCATAGTGGCCAAGAAAAATGAAATAAAGGATGCTGTTGTTGCAAAGGGAGTAACTATGCTGACAAAAATGAGATCACCAGTACTGGAAGAGGTTGAGAAGTTATTATTGGTGTGGATAAATGAGAAACAATTAGCAGGAGATACTCTTATGACTTCGTTTATTTGCGAAAAGGCTAGGCAGTTGCATGAAGATTTGGTAAAGAAATTGCCTGCAAATAGTGGTGAAGTGAGTGGATTTAAGGCCAGCAAAGGCTGGTTTGAGAGATTTAAGAACCGTACTGGCATACACAGTGTGGTAAGGCATGGTGAAGCTGCCAGTTCGGACCACAAGGTGGCTGAAAAATATGTGCATAAATTCCAGGAGTACATAGAGGCTGAAGGACTGAAACCTGAACAAGTGTTCAATTGTGACGAAACAGACCTCTTTTGGAAGAAAATGCCAAAGAGGACTTTCATTACACAAGAGGAAAAGGCAATGCCAGGACATAAGCCTATGAAAGACAGGCTGACGCTAATGTTGTGCTAATGCTAGTGGGGATTTCAAAGTGAAGCCATTACTAGTGTACCATTCTGAAAATCCCAGAGTGTTCAGGAAAAACAATGTTATGAAGAGTAAATTGTGTGTGTTTTGGAAATCTAATAGTAAGGCATGGGTCACGAGGGAAATTTTCGTCGAGTGGTTCAATGAAGTGTTTGGCCCTAGTGTGAAGGAGTATCTCCTGGAAAAGAAATTGGATCTCAAGTGCGTGCTAGTAATGGACAATGCACCTGCTCATCCTCCAAACTTGGATGACCTAATTTTCGATGAGTTTGGGTTCATCACAGTAAAGTTCTTGCCCCCGAATACCGCTCCTCTCCTCCAACCCATGGACCAGCAGGTTATTGCAAACCTTAAAAAACTCTACACAAAAGCAATGTTTCACAGGTGCTTGACTGTGACCACAGACACTCACTTGACCCTAAGGGAATTTTGGAGAGAACAAATTCAGCATCCTCCACTGCATAACCCTTATAGGTATGGCTTGGGAGGGAGTGACTACCAGGACTTTGAGCTCTGCCTGGAGAAAATTGTGGCCAGAGTGTGTCGACAAGAGGGATTTTGAAGGATTTGGGACTGACCCTAATGAGCCTATGTCTGTTGTAAAATCAATTGTGGCACTGGGGGAGTTCCATGGGGTTGGATGTGAGTTTGGAGGATGTGGAAGAATTGGTGGAAGACCACAATGAAGAGCTCACCACTGAGGAGCTGCAAGAGCTTCAGCAGGAGGAGCAACACATCGCAGCTCAGAATCTTGCTGCAGAGGAGGAGGAAGAGAGATGGAAGAAGGTGCCTTCTTCAGAAATTAAAGAGATTTTTACTATGTGGGGTAAGATGGAAAGCTTTATGGAGAAACATCACCCTAACAAGGTTGTTGCAAGCCAGGTTGGCAACATGTACAGTGACAAAGTCTTGGGCCATTTTAGGGAAGTGTTAAAGAGACGCCAGAAACAGAGCTCTCTCCACAGTTATTTTGTGAGACAGGACTCCAGTGACTCTCAAGGTGGTCCTAGTGGCATTAAGAAACAGAGAAGAGAAGCAACCCCAGAAAAGCAAATGGTACCTGAGGTGTTCATGGAAGGGGATTCCCCTTCCAAACTATAAACAATCCACTCTCTCTCCTCCTCCAGTCTCCCATACACTAAGAAGAATCTCCAATAAAGGTAAGTGTTATGCTGTTAATGTTTCATTCATCATTTCCCATTGTATTGTTTATGTACTACATGTATATTCCATGTTAAAAATTTTTTTGTTTTAATACTTCTGGGTGTCAGGAACGGATTAATTGCATTTACATTATTTCTTATGGGGAAAATTGATTCGTAAATCGTAAATTTCGTTTATAGTAACGGCTCCAGGAACAGATTAATTACGAACAACGAGGGACCACTGTACTAATATTCTCCCTTTGGATTAGATCCCATAACAGTCAGCTAATACCCAGTAGGGCCCCACTTATATGGCAGGTTAGGTTCCAGGCTACCGCCAGAGAGTGGAGATCACCGGAAAGCAAAACACCATTTTTTTCCACATATAAATGCATATAAATGCCAGATAGCAAATTTACACTAACATATATTAAGTTAGCAATAGAACAAGGCATTAAAAACAACGAAAAGTAAAATACACACACAGTACATTCATAACTTACCTTAAAATATTTGTAGTCTTAATGTAGGTTGAGAGGTGAGTAGTATTTATTGTAAGTAGTCAGGTGTGGGAGGTATGGTAGCCAGCCAGGCCACCCCATTCCACCCTACCCCACCCCACCCCACCCATACATAATATACTTCGACATTTAAAGCACCCCAGAGCGATAAAATGCATATACAGTATATTCATTACTCACCTTAAAATATTTGTAGTCTTAATGTAAGGTGAGAGGTGAGTAAATGAGGTAAAACGAATAAACGAGAGAGAGAGAGAACAAGTACATGAGAGACGAGAGAGACGTAGAATTATGTAAACAAGCAGACGAATGCGTCTGGTTTTGGTTGTTAATTTTTTCCACTGTGGGTTGTATTTATCATGTTTATATGTTATGTAGCGTGTTCATTATATAATTTTGACAAAAATATCATAGATGGATTAATGAAAATGTTTATATTAACATAATACAGGCATGGTAGTAGGTTGGTAGACAGCACCCACACAGGGAGGTACTACTGTCCTGCCAAGTGAGTGTAAAACAAGAGCCTGTAATTGTTTTACATGATGGTAGGAATGCTGGTGTCCTTTGTCTGTCTCATAAATATGCAAGATTACAGGTACGTCTTGCTACTTCTACTTACACTTAGGTCACACTACACATACATGTACATGTTTATTTATACACACTCATCTGAGTTTTCTTTGATTTTATTTTAATAGTTCTTGTTCTTGTTACTTTTCCCTTTTATATCCATGAGGAAGTGGAATAAGAATCTTTCCTCCGTAAGCCATGATTGTTGTAAAAGTCAACTAAAATGCCCGGAACAATGGGCTAGTAACCCCTTTTCCTGTACAGATTACTAAAAATAAGAAGAAGAAGAAAATTGTCAAAGTGGGATGTCTGAATGTGCGCAGATGTTGTGCAAATGATAAGAAAGAGATGATTGTGGACGTTATAAATGAGAAGAAGCTGGATGTCCTGGCTTTAAGTGAAACAAAGCTGAAGGGGGTGGGAGAGTTTCAATGGAGAGAAGTAAATGGGATTAGGTAAGGGGTTTCAAATAGAGTTAGAGCTAAAGAAGGAGTACCAATAATGTTGAAGGATAAGCTATGGCAGGAAAAGAGGGAGTATCAATGTATTACTACAAGGATTATATGGAGTAAAATAAAAGTTGGATGTGAAAAGTGGGTTATAGTAAGCATATATGCACCTGGAGAAGAGAGAAGTGTAGAGAGAGAGGTTTTGGGAAATGTTGAGTGAGTGTGTGGGGAGTTGTGAACCAAATGTGAGAGTACTTGTGGTTGGGGATTTCAATGCTTAAGTGGGTAAAAATGTTGTGGAGGGAGTAATAAGTAAATTTGGGGTGCCAGAGGTAAATAAAATGGGGAGCCTTTAATTGAGCTATGTGTAGAAAGAAGTTTGGTAATAAGTAATACATATTGTATGAAAAGAGAAAAAAATAAATATACAAGGTATGATATAGCATATAATGAAAGTAGTTTGTTAGATTATATATTGGTGGATAAAAGGCTGATGGGTAGGCT